CACTCGTAATCCTGATAAGCTCCATCTCATACAAGGCAATGATCTCGAGTCTAAGCGCGCCTTCTTGAGCGACATGAAAGGCCTTGGAGATAGCACTACAACTCAAAAGGTGCTTAATTTGATTCTCCAGGAGGCCTTGAATGCTAATTTGAAGCCGGAACATATGATCAAGAAGGTGCTAGTTTTTGCCCACTTGGACTTTGATATGTCTTCCAGCCACGCGGATCACTGGCCGATTACTTATCAGGCAATGAGGAGCAAGTTTGAAGAGAAAGGCTATGTGGTGCCACACATAGTGTTCTGGGACTTGTCTCATGACAACAAGATCAAATGTTCACAACTATCAGGGATGACCACCTATAGTGGCTACTCCGATGATTTCCTCAAGTTGTTCTTGGATAGGGACGGGGATGTCGATCAGGATCATGTCATGGAAGCAGCAATATGTAGAGAGAAGAGTACCAAAATCTGGTTGTAGTCGACTGAGTACTACTCAATCGTGATTGATCATTCTTTTAGTTAGTTCAAGTCTTTTAAGTTATCATTTTCTTCGGTCTCTGTTGGCTTTTTTCTTAATCTTTGTTTCTTCTATACCTCTGTTGGCACTTTTTTTTAACTTTTGTGCTTGATCTTCATCGTTGGATGATGGCTTTTATAACTATTTTCGTTTTCGAAAAGAAAAAATGACAGTAAACATAACATTTTCGGAGAATGTTAGCAACCTTTCTTTTTTGTTCCTTCTCATTTCTCCCGTTTATCCTCTACATGTCCATTTTTTCTACAAAAGGTTAATTAAGTTTTTAAATCATTAGTTAATAAATGATTTAGGCTGAAAACACTTCATTAATACCTACGTTCACCACAGAGGAGGTTAAGATGGTGATCGGTTCCAAAGGATTATATTGTAAACAACCAATAATTTATACTGCAACCTAAGTTGCAAAATTTGGGGATAGGCTATTAAGTTTGCAATTTTTGAAATTTGGCAATGCACAAAATTAAGAGAAAGTCTGAAGATCAAGGTGAAACAGAAGCCCAGGGAAGATTGAAGATTAACCAAAATCACTAAGACATGGAACAAAATCAAACAGAAAACAAAAATAAATTGCAGGGAAAGCGAACCAGTTAAAGCAGAGCTAAAACCCTAATCACTGGAGTCGAGGCTACCGCCATTCCGAATCAAATTCAGAGTGCTAATAATTACATGTAAGACCACCAACATTAGAGCACTCCGTAATATATTTTAACGATCTGATCGCGTCTTCCATCAAGTATTATGTCTAATCATCCAAAACAGAAACCTTATGACCGTTGGATTAAATGATAATCATTTTGTATTTCTTTCTTAACCGTATTTGTCCATTTTCTTCACTACAAAAAGGAGAAAAACAAGTCATTTTCAAAGAGAAAAGTAATCACCAAATGGGTGTGGGATAGAGAGGGGGAAGCTAGCCAAATGTGGGATTCCATGGCTAGTTGTATCCGAAAAAGTAACAAAAGGGGTATTAGGAGAGTATGAGGGCTTTGCTCCACACCAAAAAGAATCTTGGTGGTGGAATGAGGAGGTACAAACAAAGGTTAAGGCTAAAAAGGAATGTTGTAAAGCCTTATACAAGGATAAGACCGATGAAAACGGTGAAAGGTATATAATAGCGAAGTAGGAGGCGAAGAAAGCTGTGAAAAAAGCTAAGCTAGCGGCTTTTGACGATATGTATAAGCGACTAGATACCAAAGAAAGAGAGTTGGATATCTATAAACTAGCTAGAGTAAGGGAACAGAAGACAAGGGACCTAAACCAAGTGAGGTGCATCCAGGATGAGAATAGAAAGGTTCTTACTATAGAGAACGCGGTCAAAGACAGATGGAGAGGTTATTTTCATAATCTTTTCAATGAAGGACGTGAAATGAGTACTTCTTTGGGGGGTGAGGGGAATTGAGTAACACAGAAAAATGTAAAAACTACTCTTTTTACTGCCAAATTAGGAATGAAGAAGTGGTTATAGCTCTGAAAAAAATGAAGCATAGAAAAGCAGTGGGCCCAGATGATATACAAATCGAAGTGTGGAAAGTCTTGGGAGATACAGTTATAGCATGGCTCACAGACATTTTCAATATGATTTTGAAAACGAAGAAGATGCCAAATGAGTGGCGAAAGAGCACTTTGGTGCCTATCTACAAGAATAAGGGCGACATACAAAATTGCATGAACTATAGGGGTATTAAGCTAATGAGTCATACAATGAAGGTCTGGGAGAGAGTTGTTGATGCACAAAACCGGAGGTCTTGGAACAACGTAAATCCGGCCGTGAATCTGCAAGTAATGTAAATAACATAAGATGTATCGTGGTTCACCCCAAGATTTAGGCTACGTCCACACTGATTGTATTATATTTCTCTGAGAAGTGAGGGAGAGTGAGAGCGTTGAGAGGGTGAGAGAGGCTTCAGAAATGGCCTCTGATGGTGAGAATGAGCCTCCCCTTAATTGTGAGGGTGAGGGGTCCTTTTATAGAATAAGGACTCCTCACTTATTACATATTTGCCCCTTCCTTTATCCCATAATTACATTTAAGTCCCATGAGTATTTGTACGAGATCTAAATACGAGGCCCTAAATATGGTATAAATAGTAGTCCCCCAAGTCTTCAGTCAAGAGAGTCTTTTGGCTGGAGACTTGAAATTCAGTCCATGTGTGGGTCGAAGTAACTAGATGTCGTCTAGAACTAATGTTTGATATGAGGCGGTGCCCAATCTGAAATGATGCTCAACTAGAAGTAGCACATGTTGCGAGGCCGCTCTGCTTGTAGCTTATGTTGCCTTGGTTGGCTCGGCTTGTGGCGTTTGAAGATGAGGAAGTCCCTTTTATAGAATAAGGGCTCGCTCCTCAGTACATAAGTGATGGGTTAGAGTTGATGCTCGCAGCGAGACGGTTGCTCAGTAGGCGGCGATACTCTCTAATGGTGGTAAGGGAGTCCCTTTTATAGAATAAGGGTTCGCTCCTCAATACATAAGTGATGGGTTAGAGTTGATGCTCGCAGCGAGGCGGTTGCTCAGTAGGCGGCGATGCTCTCTAATGGTGATGAGAGAGTCCCTTTTATAGAATAAGGGCTCGCTCCTTAATACAAGTGATGGGTTAGGAGTGATGCTTGCGGCGATGCGATTGCTTAGTATGCGGCGATGCTCTCTAATGGTGGTGAGGGAGTCCCTTTTATAGAATAAAGGCTCGCTCCTCAATACATAAATCATGGGTGATCTTTTAATGAAAGTGAGGAAGTCCCTTTTATAGAATAAGGGCTCGCTTCTTAATACATAAATAATGGGCTAGAGTCCCCCAAGTATTTTTCATGAGGCCCAATTGAGGCCCAATATATGGTACATAATGTAGTCCCCCAAGTCTTCGGTCAATAGAGTCTGTTGGCTAGAGACTTCAAATTGAATCCATGTATGGGCCGAAGTGGCGGTTGTTCGGAGGCGGTATTTGTATACCCTGCACTGAAGCTTTGTAGGTGAAGCTTTGCAAGTGAAGCTTTGAAGCTAGAGCTCTGTAAATGAAGCTTTCGAAGCTGGAGCTTTTGTAAATAAAGCTTTTGAAGCTGATTGACATGAGTGATGCTCATGAATGTTTATGTTGATTGACATGAGTGATACTCATGGATGTTGTCATGAGTGATGCTCATGAATGTTAACATGAGTTATGCTCATGAATGTTGACATGAATGATGGTCACGAATATTTATGCATAATTGTCATGAGTGAAGCTCATGAATGTTTATGTATGAATGACATAAGTACTGCTCATGTATAATTTGGAGTACTAGGCGTACTTTTTTGATCACCTGGTTGGTGGCATGAAGGAGAGTATGGGTTGTACATTTCATCACCTGGTTGGTGGCATGAATGGCTAGTTGCCAAATGATATTAGAGTACGGGTTGTATATTTCATCACCTAGTTGGTGGCATGAATGGCTAGTTGCCAAATGATATTAGAGTACGGGTTGTACATTTCATCACCTAGTTGGTGGTAATAGCGGTAGGTTGCCGAATAATTTTGGAGTACTGGGTGTACTTTTGATCACCTGGTTGGTGGTAGTAGCGGCAGGGTGCTGAATAATTTTTGTAGTACTGGATGTAATTTTAGTCACCGGGTTGGTGCTATTTTGGGCTTATGAGCCTTTGCCCTCCTCGCAACATTCCAGCCCATTTATTTTGGGCTTTGCCTTTTTTTTTTTTTTTTTTTTTTTTTTACCCTCTGATGAGGTTTATACATATGTTTCCGAAAGATAAGGAAAATAAATTACATCATTCTGGTAGGGTGTTTATTCCTTACTTTTGCAGTATTTTTCTTCTGCACTCTCTCTGTCGCTGGCAGCCATAAAGAATCATAATAATAGAAAAATCTTTTGCTTTTCTCTTTTCCTTTTGCTTTTGTTTCTGTTTCCACTGCTTTTCTCTTTTCCTTCTTGATCCCTCACATGCCCCCACAGTGTGGTAGCTGAAAGCTTGTCCGTTCTCTATCCACTGACCATGTCGACTTTCATAAAATAGAGCCAATTCCATTTAAGCAGAAAATGACCCCACCGACACCTGTCTCTAGTGGCCAGAGGTTGGCACATGGTGTATTGCAGCAAAACCCACTTGTTTCAGTGTCATGCTTCAGTCGGTGATCATTGCCACTTAAAATTCCTTCCTCTACGTGCCTTGTATGATGACGAATTTGCTGCTCACCATGCAACAGCACATCATTTTTTGCCATGCTGAAAATTGTTATCCTTATAGCCCTCATCTTCTTCCACTGGACTTGGAAGTTCAGTCACTATTGCTACAGTTGGCGTTGGCTCAGTTTTGAAAAAACGGAGCAACACTCAGGTCTTGGCGGACCAGAGTTTCAACGAGGGAAGTGAGGAGCCAGCTGAAATTCTTCCCAAAACACAGATTTTCTAGCAGCAAACTCCTTCAACATATCTTTGAAACTGATGAGGTGATAAACCCGTCCAATTCCCCATTTCAATGGCGGTGATCGCCGTACTCGGATACCACCCGTCGATAGTCTGCAAGAAAATCAGGCCAGCGGGTAGGGTCCCGACGCGCGAGGGGGAGAGTGTGGTGGTCGAAGTAGTCTCTACAGTCCAAAACGGTGTCGTTATTCTCCAACATCCGGTTGCCGTGCTTCTCCGACGTCGCCGAGCTTGGATCACACGCGTAGTTCAGCTTGTCTTCGACTGAGTTATCGTTGAAGAAGGTGAGGCCAGCGCGCTTAATGGCATCAAGTAAGGCGGCGGGTAAGCCGTGATTGGTAACGTGGAAGGCGCCCCAGTCTCTGCAGGTTTGTCCGATTGAGGCCTGAATTGAGTCGCGGCGGGTCGGGTCAAATCTGAATAGGCCGATGATGGAATGTTGGTTGAGGATGATGGTATGTTGGGTCGATACTGGGGGGGTTGAATGTATTGGGGTGGAACTTGGGTCAGACCGGCTTAGGCCCGACTTTGAATCTTGATGGGCTCCTCCGCCACTTTTTTTTTTTTTTGGATTGGGGGTGAGACCAGTCACCAAGAAAGCCTGCACGTTTCAAGGGGAGGATGAAAAAGAGAGTTTTAGAATATGATCAATCCCGTCTTTCACGTTTTCCTGGCCACCAATTCCACGTGTTGGCAGTCAGGTTTTCTTACATGAAAGGAGCTGGTGGGAGGGGTGGAACTTGTGCAGATAATTGCCTAGCCAGAGAAAGATGGTGGTGTCTCTGAGTGTGGGTGTTGGGTTTCTGCATATTCATGGTGGAGGTGAAAAATTGAAAGAAAACCGACACAACTTTTCGTATCGATTCCCACAGACGGCGCCAAATGTTGATGCACAAAACCGGAGGTCTTGGAACAACGTAAATCCGGCCGTGAATCTGCAAGTAATGTAAATAACATAAGATGTATCGTGGTTCACCCCAAGGTTTAGGCTACGTCCACACTGATTGTATTATATTTCTCTGAGAAGTGAGGGAGAGTGAGAGCGTTGAGAGGGTGAGAGAGGCTTCAGAAATGGCCTCTGATGGTGAGAATGAGCCTCCCCTTAATTGTGAGGGTGAGGGGTCCTTTTATAGAATAAGGACTCCTCACTTATTACATATTTGCCCCTTCCTTTATCCCATAATTACATTTAAGTCCCCTGAGTATTTGTACGAGATCTAAATACGAGGCCCTAAATATGGTATAAACAAGAGTCATTGAGTTACATCAAGGCTCATCTTTAAGTCCTTACCTTTTTGCATTGGTAATGGATGAGTTAACGGGACATATTCAAGATGATATTCCTTGGTGTATGCTTTTCTCAGACGATATAGTGTTGATAGATGAAACTCAGGAATGGGTAAATGCGAAGCTTAACCTTTGGAGATAAGTGTTGGAATCTAAAGGTCTTCGCCTAAGTCGGTCAAAGACATAATATATATTGTGCAAATCGAAGACCATGAAGTACCAAAGAGCGACTGCTTTCGCTACCTAGGATTTATCTTGCAAAATAACGGAAAATTGATGGAGACCTCAACCATATAATACAAGCTGGATGGATGAAGTGGAAGAATGCATCTGACGTGTTGTGTGACCGTCGTATGCCACTGAAGTTCAAGGGAAAATTTTATAGGACGGCAATAAGGCTGGCGATGATGTATGGCACGGAATGTTGGGCGGTGAAGTATCAACACGTACATAAAATGGGTGTAGCGGAGATGAGGATGCTTCGTTGGATGTGTGGGCATACGAGAAATGATAAGATTAGGAATGAGGATATCCGAGGTAAAGTAGGAGTAGCCGAAATTGAAAGAAATATGAGAGAAAATTGGTTACGGTGGTTCAGACATATGCAACGAAGACCTACTGATGCTCCTATTAGAAGATGCGACTACGAAACAGAGGTCCAAGGCCAAAGGGGCAGAGGAAAACCTAGGAAGACTTTGGAAGAAACTCTAAAAAAAGACTTAGAGTACTTGGATCTAACGGAAAACATGACACATAACCGAGTGCAATGGCGTTCTAGGATTCATATAGCCGACCCCACTTAGTGGGAAAAGGCTTTGTTGTTGTTATTGTTGTTGTAATGATCTATGAATGATGATATGAAATATAAATAGTTCAGATCCTTGTAAAAAGGTTACGAGTAGGCCTTACAAACTACAAAACGTGTGTCAAAAGAAGAGTATCCCTTGATTCCAATTATATATACATATATTAATATACATGTTGCATGTGGCCTAATATCTTAGTGGATCGAAATGTTGGGTATCCACCTATGCATTCCGGATTCGAAACTTCTCCTCACTAAATAATAATAAAATCTGAAAAAAAAAAAAAAAAACCACCCTCTATACATTTGAGAAACCCAATAAAGAGGAAGAGGGGAGAGGACTTAGGGCTACGAAAGTGTAAAATTTCCCTAACGCCACTCTTTGCTTTCCTCATTATTATTGTGGTACGCGTCTCTAGGGTTACGAAAGTGTAAAATATGGATTTGTTTACCGCCTCCTGGCAACCCTAAAGCTAACAGGCGATCGACGAGGCAATTGTTATCATGATGAAGAGAGTTGCAATGAAAGTTGAGGCTATCGTCGGCCGCGAACATTCCGATGCTTCTATCGGCTGTTTGCAGGACTTTGTCCTGATTCTGTACCAGCTTCTTCTTCCTGAAGGAGCCAGCCGAGGTGATATTTTGTACAGGAGCACAATCGATGTCTCCATCCACAAGAAGGGTGTCCTTGAGAGGTACGAGAGTGACCCGAATTATCAGTTTTTACACGATCGTGTTTCGGATGTTTTTGCGGCCAACTTTAGGTCTGATTTTGAAAAGTTGAAGAAAAAGAAGCCCAATGAGAAGATGTATCATAATGAGTTTAGCAAGGCAAGTGCGCCCGACGTCCTGGGACCTCAAGCCAGGTACATACCGTACGGTGCCAACAATACCGAATACGGCGCCAGTGTTGCGGTCGCTACTACTTTTCTGTGCGAAAGCATCGCGAGGAAGGTTTTTCCTTGTGAGTTGGACGTGGAAAGGGACGAGGCTCATTACACACACATAGTCCTGAATCGGCTGAGTAAGGAGGTTTTGGAGCCCGTGTGGAGCATGGAGTATTGTCCACGTTTTTCGGTGTGTAAGGTTAGGCAGTATCTGGAGGACGTGAAAGCCAGCAAGTCTAAGATTGCGGCAGATGCTCTGCTTCCGCATGAAATCATCCGCTATGTGAATGATCCTCATGCAGATAACATGCATGATGTAAAATATTATTCCGATGTGGATGATTCCTATGTGGTTGATCGTCCGGATGTTGGGGACGTAGCTAAGCTTCAATGGAAGGCAATGGTGGACGATTTGTCTAACAAAGGCAAGTGGAAGAACTGCTTGGCTGTATGTGAATTCTTCACGGACCGTTCTGACGTGTCCAAGTCTGGCTTGTCCGAGGTTATGGGGCTACTGGTGTCTCAACTGAATGATAAAGAGTCCTGGAAAGGAAAGGTCATCCCTTTCACTCGGAATCCCAAACGGCTCCATCTCATACAAGGCGATGATCTCAAGTCCAAGCTCGCCTGCTTCAGAGGCACGGGCATCAGCGGAAATAGCGCGACAACTCAAAAGGTATTTGATTTTATTCTTCAAGAGGCTGTGAATGCCAATTTAACGCCAGAGCAGATGATCAAAAGGGTGCTAGTTTTTGTCCGCATGGACTTTGATATGTCGTCTATCCAGGCCGAGCACTGGCCGATCACTTATCAGATAATGAGGAGCAAGTTTGAAGAGAAAGGCTATGCAGTGCCACACATAGTGTTCTGGTACATGTACTCCCGCGACAGCGACATGGTCGTATCTTCACAAGTATCGGGGATGACCACCTTCACAGGCTACACCGACGATTTCTTTAAGTTGTTCTTGGATAGGGAGGGAGATGTCAGCCCTAATCATGCCATGGAAGCAGCAATATGTGGAAAAGAGTACCAAAACCTGGTTGTAGTCGACTGACCACTACTCAATCTTCATTGATCATCCGTTTTCTTTAGTTTAATTCTTTTTACGGTGTCTTTTTTTCTTTGTTTTTTCTCTCCGTTGGATTTTTACTTTTATGTTCGATCTTCATTGTTGGATGATATCTTTTTTTTCCAAAAGAAAAAAGTTGATATTTAGCAAAATTAACTAAATCATCCGCTAGTGTTTGATGAAGATCATCTTTGCAAAAGATTAACTAAATTGTAAATCATTTAGAACTCGTTTGAATGTGCTTTCAAAATGACTGAAAACGTTTTTCGTAGAAATATTTTTGAAAACAATCCTTAATAATAATGCTAGTAAATTATGAAAAAAAACACTTTAAAATGCTTCTTTAAAAAAACACATAATAAAAAACAGTTTAAATGCTTTTGAAACTTAAAAACATCTTTTTTCTAAAAACGCTTTCAATCATTTTAAAAACACATCCAAACGAACCCTTAGTCATCTAAGTTGTTATCTAATAAATAGTTGAACCAAGTTATTTAGTTAAACAATGAAGTGATGGCAACGTTATTGAACATCGATTAGGAAATATTCAATTTCTAAGAACATAGTTCATTCACAAAAGCTAGTGATGTTGAGGATGGACGGGAGATTCGACATTCAATAATTCATGCCATTCAGCCAAGGCAGTAATCAAGTAAATATCACAACTTAATTTGAAAACCGAAACTAAAACAGCTTGGCCTCAAAGCCAACATTGTCAAACAAAATGATTCAAATCCACCAGATCCAACATAGCAAAAACCCTAAATAAACATTTAGACCAACTACATTTCAAGAAGGTAACTCATTTGTCCTCGAGAAGACATGACTTCTGGCAAATTATCACTCAAAACTTCTGTTTCAACGACCGATACCCCAGACTCTGATAACTCCGTCGGTGTAGCCACTGAACAAGGTGCTGCCATCAGCGCTCCAGTTCAAACTCGTGCAGTAGATAACCTGCAATTCAGAGCACAAGTTAAACAAACCAAAACAATTAAAGTTCATGCATTACTAATATGTACAAAGGATTACGAACCAAATAAAACCAGTCACCATACGACAACGCTAGTAATCATAAACCTACTATCTACTGACAACTTAATTATATGTCTATGAATGCAGTGACGCAAGGTAAATACAGGCCGGAACACATTGTCAAGCACTTGCGCAATGGAGTTCCTTTCCGCACTTTAAATGCAATAATGAATGTGAATGAAAAAACCAAGATTCGAGCAAAACACCAACACTAAACAAATATAGCAAAAACGAATACCACCAGTCAGCAATACCAAAAGAATGTAAGTTCCATATTATGAGTTTGTAATAGGGGAAGAAAATACGACATCACACAAAGCTTAAAGGCAATTCCAAACAAACAGCATCATCAATTAGTGAGCAATGTGACTTTTCTTCAAAGAAAATATTTGTCGAAAGACTCAAAGCCAAGCAAAGCAGAAACTCTGTAGAGCAAAGTCCAATTCAATGTGTATATAGGGAAGAAATGGCCAAGACAAAAACGATAATCTACCCTATAAATCGATAACAGCATATGTCAAACGCAAATTGCAACAAACATAGGAGCATTGTACCAACTATTTCGCAGTCAGCTACCATACTACTAATATCAATAAAACAGTTCAGATAAATAACATCTACGCACAATCGCTACGTAACACATTGGTGATAACAAGATTAGAGAAACAACAAATAGACGATATAATCAATAAGCAACTTCATCGAAACCCGAAATCACATTACAAAAGCAATCACAATACAAAAATGAAAACAAGATATAGAACCAGTAATAAATCGAACAGAGCGAAAAAAAAGAAGTATACCTTCTTCTTGTATGAAGTAGCAGCATGGGTATCCTCAGTCTTCTCAGCCTCAGTCTTCAGATCGACCTTCAACTCCTCCACAATGGACTTACTCTCCAAGTCCCAAATCTTGATGCTTTGCTCGGTTGCGGCACACAGCCAGTACCTGTTGGGACTGAAGCAGAGAGCGTGGATGATGGAGCCGGCCTCGAGATGATACAGCCTCTTGCCCTCCGCCAAATCCCAGAGCAGAATAACTCCGTCTTTGCCTCCGCTGGCGCACAATGAACCATCAGGAGAAACCGCGACGGTGTTCACATACCCATTGTGGCCCTCAAGGGTGTTCCTTAGCTTGCAGTTGGACAAGTTCCAAACTTTCACAGTCTTGTCCCACGAGGCCGAGACGATGGTGGGCTGCATTGTATTGGGGCTGAATCTCACACAGCTGACCCAATCACCGTGCCCATCCTGGTCCTGAATGGTGAACTTGCACTCACCGAGAGTGTTCCAAAGCTTGATCGTGCGGTCACGGGAAGCCGAGACGATCTGACGGTTGTCAATGGAGAAAGCAACAGACAACACATCCTTAGTGTGACCAACAAATCGGCGGGCGGAGACGCCGAGGGCCAAGTCCCAGAGGCGGAGCTCGCCGTCCCAGGATCCAGAGAGGGCAAACTGGCCGTCGGAAGAGAGAACAACGTCCTGGACGAAGTGGGAGTGCCCGGTGAGCCTTCTGCGGGGGACACCGTAGGTCTTCTCGTCTTTGTTGAGGTGCCAGAGGATGATGGACTTGTCGCGGGAGGCGCTGACGATCATCTCGGAGTTGTCGATTGGGATGGCGATGGCCGTGACCATGTCGGTATGAGCCCTCATGGTGCCGCGGAGAACGAGATTCTCACCCATGGTTGCTGGTGGTGGTGCGCGGCGGCGGGTGTGCTAGGGTTTTCAGAGCAGCGGGAGGCTGGAAGGCGTACGAGAGCGTGAAGAGGGAAAAACGGGAGAAAAGAAGAATATATAGGTGAGAGAGATAGGGTTTTGAGAGAGATGAGCCAGACCCAAAAACAGGGGTGGGCGTGTGGGTTTGGGTTGCTTTAGTTTGGTGACCCGGCCCGGTGTAGACGAGGCCCAATTAGATTCTAAAGTGTGGATCTAGTCTTGAAGACCAATTAGATTCTAAGGTGGGGCTTTATATTCTCTACTGGGAAATTTTATTTGAACTCATTTAACATTTTTTTAAAATTCAATTTACTCTCTTCAACTATATTGTTTTTTTATTATTAAAGATTTAATATATCTTTAATCCCAAATTTATTACCTAAACTACCCTCTCAAACCCCAATTCAAAATGTAAAATTATATTTACACTCATTCTCTTTATAAAATAACATATCTAATTGATTTTTTTTTCTTTTCAAAGAGGTGTCATTTGGGCCTCTATAATTGCATATGCCATATAGGACTAGCATTTCCATTGCTGCTTTTTTTCTTTATGCTACCACAACCCATCCTTGGACTTAGGATACAAGAGATCATTCCATATACTTGAATTTGCCAAGAGAATGTTATGCAAGCTCCAGTTCAATCCTTTTTAAATCGAGCATTTTCATGTGTTTTTTAAGATACTTTGAAGTGATATAGGACTATGTGTTTTGCTGCTATGTTAATAAACAAATAAACAAATTGGAGCTATTTCGAATAAAAAAGGGTGCAAGACATGCCACCTGCTAGTTCGTGACTAAGGTTGTACAATCTTTATTTGCATCAAGAATCAAGTTTTGTGTCTTTACAATACTAATTAAAAGTATTTGCACTGGTGTTTTGGGGCGCATACGGACAGCAGAGAAAAGCAAATACAATATCATATAAAAAATATGAAATTTAATCCAAAAAAGAAGCAAACAAACAAAATATCCATAAATCGAGTCATACTGTAGTTGGAGGATTAAAAACTTCAAAATCACCATTCATCAATAGAAAAACTTATTTTTCTCTATCAAAGCTAACGTAGAATAAACAAAAGGTGATGCTAGGGTTTAATTATAGTATATGAGTCTATTGATAAATTTGATTTTTATTATTAATTTAATTTTGTACATAATAGTAATTATGCAATAGGATAAAATAAACGATTAACATTTAAAATTTAAATTATGTGTAAAAAGAAGTTAGACGAGTTTAAATAAAATTTTCCTTCCCTATTAAATTGGAACTAGGTACAACAGTGTGTTGGTTGTCCCATAACTAAAATACATTAATAAGAAAATACTGATGTCCCATAACTAAAATACCTAGAGAGTGGTTATTTCGTGTCAACGTATTATTTTTTTACGTAGAAAATTTAAGTATTTAAATTATCGCATTGAGAAGGAGACTGCTAAAATATAATATTTTCTTCTACGTATGATCGTATCCCACCGGTAACAAAAAAAGGTAAATAAATAAAAATCAGCAGTTCAAATTTGTTTTTAACTTTTTTTATTGGACAATAAACTTTGTTTTTAATGCACCGCTTGCGGCTCCGCCCGAGAAACCACCGCTTCCAATTTCTATCGTTGCCCGTTTCCGCTCGGAATTATCTTCTCCGAATCATCTTCCTCGGAAGAGCTTCACTGCACGCTGATGGAGGTTTGCCTATCATAGCACCAAAAAGATGCTTTCTTTAAGGTTAGTTCTTCGTATTTTCCACTTTTTTTCATCTGGGTAATTGTTGTTTTCCTCTAATCTTGCTTCAGTTGTTCGTTTGTTGGAGATTTTCTTTGTTTTTTCGTGGGTTCTTACGTTTTGTTGGTATATTTCGATATTAGTAAGTTAATAGCTTGTACTTTGCTTTAATAATTGTTTAAATTTTCAATTTGGTAGCAATTGAATCTTGTATGTTCACCCACTTGGCCACTGCCTGCCTTTGATTTCGTGTGCCGGTTTGATACCAGGGGATTTTGGAGAAGGCATAAGAGGAAGGTTTTGGTTGCAACTGGTGTTTTAGGAAGTGGGTATCTTCTGTACAAATTGTACAATGCCCACAGACAAAGGCTTGTTGACCTGGAGACTGAGCTCGAGCACGAGCGAGAGAAAAACGATGAGCTCATCAAGGCTCAGTTAAGAGAGATTCCCATTTCATTTTTGAGTAGTCGTATATTTTGTTTTCGATTCTTCAACTGGTTATTAGTTGGGTTCTAACGATATTGTTTTATGGTCGCGGTCATAGAATGCAGGCCCATTTTGAAAACATACAAAGAATTGCTGATACAACTACACTGCCGCATGCTATGTACTATTTAAGTAGTCGGATAGCGGAAGAGTTGGACCTTTCTCACCTTACTGAGAGGTTAATGCAAGTGAAGGGGCAACCGACATCTCAAGAGAAACTTGAGTTATGGGATAGACTGAAAATTCTAAGTATGTTTCTGTCATTCCTTGGTATTTATATATTTAGCATGTTTCAAGACCATAGTTTATGAGTTCTCTTGATTTGACTAAAATAAAGAGATTTATAGTCCGCTCACCTTCTACTACTGTTCTTGTATTTTTTGCAGGTTTCACGAGAATGGTGTTGTCGCTGTGGGCAATGACGATCCTTAACTTATATATTAGAGTTCAAGTCAATATATTAGGGAGACATTTATATATTGATACTGCACGAGGTCTTGGGAGCTCTCTTTTAATTGTAAGAGCTATTTCCTTTTCCACTGTATGCCAATGATTTCTACTCAAAATAGTTATTTCAGCAGAATTGATGGTGGAATTGTGTTTACTTAACTGCAATACCAATCTAGACAGCATTATTCTAAGTTTAAGTAGTCCAATGCAGCTGAAGGTTTGGACTTGCAAATTGTTGATTTATTTGGTTTGCAATGTATTGATGTGCCTACTTTATTACGTAGTATGAAATATCCTTGCCGAGTTTTACATTTGGTCAAGCAATCGTTAAAGGTTGAATTCATTAGTATGACTTTGAACTCTTACTTTCTGAATGTATTGCTGGAAAAAGTAACCTCAAAAGTGTGCGTATGCTTGTGAGTGTTACCAAACTTGGATATTGACATGTAGAGTATGTGTATCTTCTATGTTCATTTGAAGGCTATCCTATCACCAAAAATTTTGTTTCAAGGATTGTATATGATATAAAAGTGATTCAAATTATAGTTTTTTAAGAGTTATCATTTATCAAATATGGCATCAGTTTTGAATGTCACTTGTAGAAGCCTTCGTTCAGGATTAGGGATACCTATTATTTTGAAATGATAACTAGGGTGGTGGTTGAGTGAACTCATCTTCACCGTTGTTGGGGAGATGTTATCGTTATATTGTGGGAGAATACTTCATTAGAATAAGTATAGTGAAATCTACACATAGTTCTATTTGAAGAGGTGGGATCCGTTTCTGGGCAGTAAGGCAGGCTGGATATCAATGAAACAGGTGGAGGGGTGCATGGTTATATATTTGAGAGATCAAGTTCCTGTTAACACTGCTTGTCAAAAACTAATATTATAGCTGATTGCTGCTTGGTGGCCCTGTGATTGATGTTTTCTCACTAAAAGTATTGTTACTTTTGTTCATTTTCCCCAGGCCACTTGATAGACATTAGTGTTGATTTGCAATACCACTCACATCAGGCATGCTATGAAGTGTACTTTGGACGATACGATTGGTTTTGACATGTTACTTTAACTTCTCTGAATGCAATATAATTGTTATTATGTTAACAGGAGGATGCTGATCTCATTCATAGGGATGACCAGCAGAAGTTTCTCGCAAGTTCTGATTATCTCGCCAGTAATGCCTTGCCTGCTTTAATTTCAAATATCCAGGCAGCAGCAACAGAAGTTCTTAATGGGTAAAGCTTTGTCTGACCCCCTATTAGCATGTTGTATATTAGTCTGAAAAATAAAGTCAGGTTTATCTATCACTTCAGTGTTTTTCCTGAATTTTTCTTCTTAAATGCCGTGGTCCATGACAAAATGTCCAGGCTTTCGATAAAATGTCAATAAATGCTTAATACTCAGAAACTACCATAAGTTTGTCACTGCCCCCAAGTTTAATCTTGACCAGCTTCAATCTCTTATAGCACTGCGCGACCGAGAAGCTAAGGGACCTATATGGCTGAAGTTGCAGACTTCCGCTGAAAGAATGTAGCCTAACTCTGCCAGCCAAACTTGTTGACTATTAGAGGTCTTACTAAATAGTTTGGACGCTTTTCATTCGCAGAAAGCAGCTAAAGGATTCTTTCAACACCACAGTTCTTCATGCAACTATCATGGAAATACTTGAAAAGTTCATGAGCACAGGAGATCCCCATCACTGGGTGAACTACTTGATGCCTGAGGATGCTCGTTGGCATGAACTAGCCACTGCCTTCAGCAATGATAACATACCTCTTCCAGATGTCACCAAATTTGACCAACTTATGTTGGAGACACGGGCAGTAATATCAAGGTACGTCTGCGATGGTAGGGATGCAGCTTATGCTTATTCAAAAGTAACATCAATCGCACAACTCTTTGCATGGAATTGCAAGTTTAAGATACAACTCCTATACATCGAGTTCCAAATCTCAACATTACCAACCGCAGTAATACTGATTTTGGTGTTACTTAATTCTATCATGCAACTTTATCTTGTTATTGTTATTCCTCGAAGGATCTTCCTGACTTTTTCTTGAGTAGTTTTTTGTTCCACTTCGGAAGGTGAAATTTGGAAGTCACTCAAATCTTTTCTGTCTTCTCTTTGCAGTGCTGAATTCAGGAGTGTTGCCGATACAGCGTTGAGAGCAGTGGTGGATACCGTGATAGAAGATATGAATGCTCAACCTGGAGGAGGCAGTCTAAAGTCAGGAATTCAACTTGCCAAAGTTTTAGCACGGGTTGCACAGACGGGTCCTTCGGTCCTCGAAGAATCAAGCAAGTTCATCCAGATCATTCTGAATGTACCACAAGTTGAGCTCTTTTTCACTCTCATCTACTCAAACATGAAAATAGACTAGAGTAGAGACTAGCGGCGGACCACATTATCAGAATTTCGGTTTTTAAGTAGATTTTTGATGCGTTACAATCAAATCCGGCAGCGGAAGAACGTGCTAATGATTTAGGGGCGTTCAAGTTGTCAAAATTCGAAAGTTTTAAAGGAATAACAGAGAAAGATGTGGAATGTTGCAGTGTAATTTAATCGTTGTACTAGTTCTTCTTCTATTTCTAATTCCACATCTCATATTTGTTGTGCTGTGCTGTAATATCTCTTATATCATGTAACATGGTCAAATAGTATATGCTTGCTCTATTAAAAAGCGCTTTTCCAAAATCTGGTTACGATTTATAAGTGCTTTCAAAATTTTCTTTTAAACGATGGTAGTAGCTTTTTTTGTTGCCTATAAGTGCTTCTAGCCATTCCACCGGTAGACCTTAAGAAGCCCTGAATGGAAAGAAAAATTTACAGACTGTATACCCTTTGAGATGCCACGTAGATGGGTCTTTTGACATTTGACTTGAACCAAAAGACCAAAGCATAGGAAAGATATCTTTTCCGGATCTCTTCTATTAAGGTTATCGGATCAAGTGATCTGGACCTTTCAAATTTTATCCAATGGTAAAATTCACAGCTTTTAAGAGGTCAAAACAGGTGAGCTGTTGGATGAAATTTGGAAGGTCCGGATCACTTGATTTGATGGCTTTGGTGAAAAAGATCCGGAGATGATTTCTTTCCCAAAGTATAATTTGTCATAATTTCACCGACATTCCATTAGTGGAATTTTGTTGAGCCCGTTTGGAAATGATTGTTTCAGAAATACTTTTGTTTATCAATGCTTTTTATTAAAAACTTAAATGTTCATTAAAGAATCACTTGAAAGTGCTTCTTGGAAAAGCACGGAATAGGTGTTTTTTTTTACAAAAACACATAGCAAATGAATCCTTTTATTCAGAACAAATAATATCGAAAGCGTGTTTGGTTGTCGGAAAGATATTTGTTATCCCCAAATCTTCCAAACGTGCATGCCCTAAATCATGTTTCTGCCCCATCGAAAAACGGGTTCGGGTTCAAACGCTGCGTTTAAGTAACAATTCAGTTCAATTCACAAACACAAATCCCCCAATACTCCACTATCCGGGGTTTGCCAAAACAAAAAAAAAACTCCACTATCTGCGTCTCTGAAGCTCATTAGTATTACACACAGTGACCTTCTCGGGGACAACAATGGTGGACACCAATGGCAACGGCGGCAGCCATGAGGTCCTGATGCTTGAAGCTCCGCCGCCGGAAGGTCCGGCATGGCCGGGACCTCTAACCAATGCCGAAACCATCGACGCCTTGCCCTACATCGACGACGACTACGCCAACCCCGACGTCAAGCGCGAGGTCGACCGCATGGTGGAGGAGGAGTTGCGGCGCAGCGCCAAGAAGCCCGCCGATTTCCTCAAGGAGTTGCCGCCTCTTCCCAAGCCCAATTTCAAGGTCAGTCCCCAAATTCCTAGGGTTTCTCTCTTTTTAAGGGACTGTTTGGCTGCGTAGATAAGGATTTTTTTGTGCCTGACTTGTGGAATTTGAAATTGCAGGATCATCCGATGCTGGCTAGGGAGTACGAACGGGTGAGAGCGTCGCGGCCTCCGGTGGCGATTGATTTTTCGAGAGACAAAGTGGAGCCGCCGCCGGTGAATAAATTGAACGATGAAACTGCTTGGAAACTTGCTCTCCAGAAATCTCAGTGCTCTCTGCAGCACCAAGCCGTCAGGTAATCTATACATACAGATTTGCATATTTGTATAGGCAGTGTATATGTAGTATGGATATGTATATGTGAGTTATGTTTACTGTTGATGAAATGAGTGTCTGAATTGTAGGTTGGAGAATTTGGAGCTGATTGACAAGTATGGTCCTGAAGCCTGGATTCAGAACAACAATCGATTGCAATCAATTTTGTCGAGGTTTGCCCGTCAGATTTCATATGAAAAACTGCAATATTTATAGTTACCTCTTCATTGTGAATCGATTCATTCCATACTTGCCGCATTAGTAGTCTAGTAGTACCGCCCCCTTCGGGACTGTGCACCCCACATACATATGACACTGCTTATACCTGTTCACATACATAGTTCTCCCACATGTACCTATGCACATTGCACACACACGCATTTGAATGTATGCATTTGCACAAATTAAATTTTGCACATGTGCTTTATCAAAAGGTGTTCAACAATCTGAATTGTCTCCAGTCAGACTTTCTGTGTAAATGCATTCTGAAATGTTACATGATGTACTTAATTTTGCATTTAAAATCGATATTATTGCTGAAAGTTCTAATTTTCATGTGCAGTACTTGATAATTCTTTGAATAATGCATTTCATGATGCTTGACGTAATGTTATGTGTGTTATGCGTTTTTATTTTTCAGAATGCAGAAATTAGCTCAGGAGCAATATCAAAATATTGAAACAGTGAATCGTGAAAGAAAACATCATCAGGTGATTTAACCTATCTGCCTGCTGACTTTGTACTATTTCGATCGTAATGTTACTCTGATCTGATAAATTTACTTCATTGATGACAGCAAACCACTGCGTATGAGCTCAATGCTTTGTCTGCTCAATGGAAGGAGCTTTGTCAGAAGAATATAGAAATTCAATCTGCATGTGTTAATCTTGAAAACCATCTTGAAGGATTGAGGAGGGAAGCAGCCGAAAGGTTATCCACCTTTTCCTGTCTGGTGTGTTTTCTCTGGCACTCATTTTATTATTTTGGTCACTAATTAGCTGTTACTCACTTCAGAGGATGGAACCTGGAAGCCAATGCAGAAAATGGTTCTCTATTGAACGCTGAATGAGAAGGTATGCTTTTGCAGCTAATGCCATTTGGTTTAGCGTTGATGCTATAACTCTGCTATCTTGTTATACGATGCCATGCAATATTCTTTTACTTCACAGGATTTAGAGATGTTGTAATTTTTTAACCCTTTATCGAAACTGTATTCCCAATTCCTCTTTTGGGTTTAATTTTATTTTGAAGAATTAGTTCCTAGTGTTTGCGTTTCTACCCATTTGTGTGTTGTCGAAATTAGGATACTTTTCCTTTGAGGACAAGTCCCGAGTTATGTAATGCATACATGTCCAGGCATTGCCTATACGAATATATGATTATATGCTTTTATTATGATGAGTCGTCAATTCTTGAAGGGAGGATACGATAGACTTAGTATGATCTGCTTCATGGAATCAGTATCAGGCGGCTATATAAACCAGAGTTTATTCGAAACTAGACTTTATCATTTCTGTCCTAGACTACGTCATGATTAGCATTGTGGTGCTATTAGTTTTAATCGTTAAATTTTGGGTTTTCTAAACAGGATTTGGACGAAGATCTGGCAGAAATTGAGGTACGGGAATATTAGCGTTGATTCGACAACTATCAGCATGCAGCTGGATTGATCTTTGTTGTACTTTCGATGAGCGGCCCTTTTGTTAACGCATGTTTTCGGTTGGTATTAATGCGTTGAAACTGCTTATAACTATGTTCACAACTTCATACATTATCCATTTTTTGATGGCATAGCCAATTATTTCGAGCTCACCATAGAATGCAAAATTACCCCATCATGATCCAATAGGTCCTACTTTATGCGAGAGCTGTTCTAATAGGAGTAATGTTTAAAATACCCATGAAATTGTCGATGTTTCTATCAAAATATCTGAAAAATCAAGGAATTGTCAATCAAATCACTGCTCGAAACCTATGATTATATTTTATCATCAATCCAATCACCATACACATTTTTCTTTTTTCTTATCAATGAATGTATCTATCTCTTTACTTGTACGACAGAGATGCATGCATACATTGTCTTACATTCCATTATGATACATGATAATTCAATGAAAGGGGTTTAAATGCAAACTTCACCCTATATGCGGGAAGATATAAGAAAATTAATAAATTTTGACGATATTTACCGATTTACTATAGAAATTTTGTTGAAATCTATTGAAGATTTCGAACTTTTGAATTCTTTTGAGAAAATTTTCTCTATTTTGGACTAAAATTTGAATGAAGAGATATACCAGTAGATATACGTACACTGTTACAAATTTCCATAATTTCCTTCGAATAAACCGATATCAGTATTGATATTTTCATAAATTTGCTTACCAATATTTCTATTTATATTGATATTTTAACACCGAGTAGGAGTACTGTACAAGAGAAAATTTTAAGTAATAGTTAACTCAATTATGTCATTTGTAGGACATTTCTCAACAAAGCACGAGATCCCACGCAACACATAGGATCCCAATTTCCTGTGTTGTCTTTCTTCTTAAAGTCTCGACCTAAATAAGTAAGATCCTTGGCGCGCAAGTAAAGCAAGACAACCCACATTAAAATCTAGGCACAAACATAACATCGCCCGGCCCCCCAAAATATTCACCAAAAAAATGGTTCTGAAAGTCATGAAAGCTGCATCAAAAATGGCGAAAACCCTCCCTCCACGACTTTCCAGTCCAAACAAAATCCATCTCAAAAACATTTCGCAACTCTCTCCGGTCGGATTTTCCGACCCGAAACTCGGAACCCTTTTCATTCACAGAGAAGAAGAAGACCCTGTTTTCATGGTCGCAAATTTCAACAACATCATCACTGATCATCTTTTCAACGTACTCCATTCGGATTCCGATTCCGATTCCGATTCCCCGCAGTTCTTCATTCCCTCCTCGTACAGCAATCCCTGCCTCGATCTCTTCTTCCACGTGCTTGTCCCCCATTCCGATTCCTACTCCCATTCCTACAGGTATCTCAAGCAGCTCCTTCCCTTGGCATGGTCACACAGTCCACTGACCACCCTCAAGCTCATTTGCAACCTCCGAGACTTGTCCAACGATCTCGGAAAGGCTGACGAAGAGGCCTTCTATGCTGCCGCCTTTTGGCTCCACCAGCACCACCCCAGGACCCTTGCCTGCAACCTCGCCTCCATTGCCAGTGAGGGAGAGTTTGGCCGCTCTGTCGGGTTATGCAGGACCTCGTTGAGATTCTGTATCGGCTTTTAGAAGGGCAAGACGTTAGGAGGAGAAAGAAGAAGAATAACCAGCACAACCACCACCGCCAGGAAAAGGCTGCCGCAGCTGCGGCCAGGAAGAAGGCTGTGGAGAGGTACGAGAGGGACCTGAATTATCGATTCTTGCACGACAAGGTATCGGATCTTTTCGCGAAGCAATTGAAGTCCGACATTGAAAAGTTGAAGAAGGGGGACATTTGTGAGATAAGCTCGGTGCCGTATTTCTGCCCCTCCGTGGATTCTTCCATGGACCGCGCCACATTGCTGTGCGAAAGCATTGCGAGGAAGATTTTCCCGCCAGAATCTTCATGGTGGATGCAGAGTCCGAGACCGCCTTAGGAAGGAGGTTTTGGTGCCGTTGACGTTCGCCTTGGATTATTCTCAGGGCTTTGATTCTTCGGCAAAGCCCTGCGCAGTTAAGGAGTACTTGGAGGAGGTGAAAGCCAGTGGCAAGGCCAAGATTGCGGCATGTGCTCTGCTTCCGAATGAGATCGTAGAATATGTGAATAACCACGGTGTTGGGCAAGCAGCAGAGCTTCAGTGGAAGGCAATCGTGGAGGCGAAAGTAGGAAAGCTGGAAAACTGCCTGGCTGTGTGTGATGTGTCGCCTTCTTCCATGGTGGGGATCTCCGCGGATGTTTCAGTTGCGATGGGGCTGCTAGTGTCCGAACTGAGTGAAGAGCCGAGTTGGAAAGGAAAGGTGATCAATTTCAGTCCGAATCCCGACCTGCATTTGGTACAAGGCGATGATCTTAAGTCCAAGTGCGCGTTTGTGAGGAGATTGGACTGCGGTGAGCATATTGATTTGCGGAAGGTGTTTGATTTGATTTTGGAAGCGGCTATGAATGGGAATTTGAAGGCGGAGCAGATGATCAAGAAGGTGTTTGTGTTCACCAATACATACTTTGATTGTGCGTTGTTCAATAGTAACAATAGTACCCGTTGGGAGAGCAATTACGAGGCAATACGAAGCATGTTTAAGGAGAAAGGGTACGAGAATGCAGTGCCGGAGATTGTGTATTGGAAGGTTGACACCCTGGTGGCGCCTTGCACGAAACCAGGGGTGACCATCTTCGGCGGCTTCTCCAAGGATTTACTCAGGTTGTTCTTGGACAATGACGGGAAAGTTAGCCCGTACCATGTCATGGAAGCAGCATTATCTCCCAAAGAGTATCAAAATCTTGCTGTAATGGACTGAGTACTGATTAGTTAATGCGAAATCATCATCCGTCATCACTCTAATTCCAAGGCGCATCGAATGGTTTAACTTGAGAGTTCTAATCACCAAAGCATTTTACGAACGCTCAAGTTCGATCCCTCATCCCCGATAATCATAAGTACACGAGTTGCATAACCAATGCTCAGAGCTCTTCTTCTTCGCGATCTTGCTTGAGCCTCCCATGACTTTCTTGACATTCTTCTTCTTCATCATCGTCTTCCTCTTCTTGCATTCCGAACGCGCCAAATCAGTACCATTGCCGTCCTCTTCACACATGCTTTGGCAATCCCTTTTCAAGGAGTTACGGATAGTCTGCATCATTTGTTCTTCCTTGATCCGCAGCCAGATAGTCGTACTTTCTCATATGTACATCGTAATCACTTTTCGTGCTCTCAAAGTATTTGCGATCGCTTGATTCCTCCATCTCGCGTTCTTCTTCTTTGTGTTCTTCCGCTTGGAGAGAGAGAGAGAAACTGAGGGGGGGGGGGACACTGATATTTTATAGGGCTCCTGTCTCTACAGTTTTCCTTGCGTGCATAGGAAAGCCTGGGTTTCGGCACATTACACCGAAATATTTCGTGTTAGCTCGGTGCATTATACCGAACATTTCTTGTGCCTGGTAAGTTTAATTTCATGAAAATTTCAAACAGTTTCCTCTCTTTTTTTTTTTTTTTTTCTAAATTAAAAACAAAAATCTCCTCCTTCAAGTGGTTCACCATCGCTTGCTTCCCAAGTAACATAATCATGCATACATTTTAAAATTTATACTAATCTCTGCCGAATTATATAGTTAATCAGTATATAATGTTGTGCGGAAGCGTCAAATATGAAACCAATAAGCTACAACGGAAAAATATGATAAGACAAATAATCCAAAATGACACAAGAATTTATACTGGTTCGGTGTAAGCCTACGTCCAGTTCAGAGACGGCGAAGAAATTCCACTAATATCAAAATGAAAATTACAAATAGAGTTGAACTCTCAATCCCAATATCCCATATACACCCAATAGCTCTCACTCATACAAAGAACAATTGGAGAAGAAGAAGAAACACATCAAATTCTTCTCTCCCAAAAGTCACAAAATGTAGCACAATATCTTAGAATGAATGATGGCACAAATGGAGGATAGAAAACAGTAACACACCTCTTCTTCTCTCTAATCTGCCGGTCCCAACCCCCAAAACCAAAGGCATAACCAAATGCCTTAATATAAACAAAAGGAACAAACATCATAATTGCCACTCATGTGGCCACATCATAAAGGAAAACCTCCTAATAATGTTCCCACATCATTATGTCCTTCATTCTTTTGGTTTGTTTAATAGCCGAAAGGAGAGTTAGCTTGTTGTCCACTTGGCCACTAATTTGGCCATTATCCAACATATAAATCTAACAGCATACATATTTAAAACATCTTCTAATAATATTGAATAAATTATATTAAATATTAATTAACTAGGTTGGGGTTATGAAAGTGTAGCGGACGATGATCCTGCAGTTGTAGCAACCTTGATGAACACATCCTCCAGAGTAGTGTCAGCCACACCCCATGCAAACACCGCGAACCGACACTTCGCACACTCGACCGTGCGGAACACATCTGCAATTCTAACCTCAGTTTTGGGCAGCTCAAACTTCTGCGTCCCTGAGAGCCGGTATGTCTTGACGGCGTTCGGTGACATGTTCCTCACCATCCTCTCCACTTCTTCCTCATGATGCCAACTCGTTGTCATCGTAAAGATATATGATCCTCCATATCTGGCCTTCAGCTGCATTAGAATTCAGTGAGGTGTTAGGCATGTAACATGTAACTTATATTAAGTGAAAGTGATTAATTTGAGATTTAAATTAGGACAACAAATTGCATTTCGCTACCTCCTTTGGATTTCCTATGCACTGCATCCTGCCATCGACGAAAATCCCCAATCGATCACATAGAACCTCTGCCTCTTCCATGGAATGTGCTGAAATGTAAGCTTTTGTAAGTGAAAAGAAAGAAACACGTATATAGATCGAAAATTAGTACATTAAACATCTAGTTGATACTGCGGGATAGAGATTACTGGTTAGGATGATTGCACGATCTTGTTTCGCAGACTTTATAACGTTCCACAGATGGTTTCTTGAAGCCGGATCAAGTCCAGTACTAGGCTCATCCATGTAGACAACCTACAAGTATACAGGAATTTGCAAAACACAGTGAGTGCAGTAAGTAGCATTATCCTGGGAAAACATATCGAAAATAAAAAATCGAAGCAGCTTAAGGAGATGAGAACCAAGACATACTTTTGGGTCACCTATCAGCGAAATTGCAACGCTAAGCCTTCGCTTCATACCACCACTATACTTCCCGGCTTGTTTGTCAGGAACCCCTCCGTGAAATAGATTGACACTCTTCAAAGATTCTTCCACCGCCTTCAGCAACCAAATCAAACCATGGAGGAATTAGTCATCCTACCTAGCTAAAAGTATCAACAGATTTGGATACTACAAATTTTCGATATGTTGACTTACTTGCATTAAGGCAGAACCTTTTAGGTTCTTAAGTCTGCCATAAAATAGGAGATGCTCCCTTCCAGTCAGTGTTTCCCACAGAAGGCTAAACAACATCCACGAAAACAAGAAGTTCATTTGCAACTGAGTAAATATTAAAAGAAAAAAACCATGAAATAAGAGTTTTTTCTTAGTTTCTTGACACATAAGACAAGAATTGCTCTAGCTTACTCGTGCTGTGGACAAAATCCCATGCTGCTATATATTTTGTTCATCTGCGTCCGAATGTCCATACCATGAACATACCCCGTGCCAGAGGTTGGTTTGGTGAGACCAATCATCTGTGGAATAATCGCGCAATGATCAATCAGAACACTCGTAACATGATTTTTCGTGTAATGTATAATGATAATCAAGGACTGGAAAGAAGTAGGGTGCACTCACCATACTAATAAAAGAGGTCTTCCCCGCACCATTAGGGCCAAGCATGCCAAAGCATTCACCTCTAGGTAAGGCAAGAGAACACCCTTTCACTGCAAATTTATCAGGGTTTCCATCTCTTCCTGGGTACACCTTTTGGAGGTTGTCACATACGATTGCGTGACTTGTATCCCGTTCCACTACCAACCTCTCAACCATCTCGATCTGAAAATTAGGAAGAGTTGGAAGCGGAATTTGTTTATATGTGTACAATTCATTGAGGTACCATAAGTTTTCATCTAAGTTAGAGAGAGACAAGAAAAGTTACCTCATGACAAACATCCGGTTTCTCCATCTGAATCGAACTAGATCCCTGCCCTTGCATACTAGGCCTCCGAATAGATGGAAGTTTCTTCTTCCTAAACCTTTGCAAGAAAACAAAAGGACTTTTTCCAGATGATACAAGTTGGTCAATGCAGTATGCAACAAGAAGCACCACAAACCACTCGATAACCATGATAATCAAGACCTCTCTCATCCCTTTACTCCCGTCACTCAAATCGCCCCATCGCATCCCTACTTTTTTATATTGGATGGGGTACTGTGCAAACTCGTAGAGTCCACGATACAGAGAGAAGCCAGGATACAGCTCTATAAGGATGATCACACGCTCTACGTACATAACACGAAACATTAACTTGATAAAGAGTTGAGGTTATGAAAAGTATAGACAAAATCGAACAACATAAAACATAACTACACAACAAAGTCCTTGAACATTGCACAAATATTTCAACTTACTAGAGACAGATTCATCTTCGATAATGCTTCGAAATAGATTGTCTGCCACAAGCCCAGTTCCAAAGACCAAAATGTAACCAATAACTGCGATCATCAAATCAATCATGGAAATCATGTCAGTTTACTCATCTAATAAGAAAAATTAAAACAAAAATCTCTAACCAACTGCAAATAAATACAAACAAACAACATCCAACCTGTACAAGCCTTAACATTGGAAAACATCGAAGCTACAAGAAAAGCCACTGCAATTTGCAAGTTCAGATAGATGAAGTAGAAAACAAACTGGATGCTGTAGTCATTGATTGTGAAGAACTTTAACCCTGTAAAGAAGTAAACGAACTTCGATTTGTTAAAGCGACTCAGAGTGAAGAAACAGTTGCCAAGTAGTGAAGAGACAGTTATATACATGTAGATATAAGTACCTATGATGGAGCCAACTGCAATAAAAAATAGCATGTAGATTGAAGAAACTGTAAGAAAGTAAGCATAGGAAATCATCCAATATGGTGCATCACCAAGTCCATGCATTTTCATCATGATTCTCAGGTTTTGTTGTTTCTCATAAACCAGATACTTCAACACAACCTTCACCATCAACAACAAAATTGGTGAAATCAATTAATTAGCAAGCATCCATGGCATTAACAGAAAGCATTTCGATAAAATAAAAAATATAAAAACGAAGAAGAACACAAAAGAGCTATGTGAAAAGTACGGGACACTCTGTATTTTAGTCCCACCAACCTCACACGATCTCACTCAGGCGTGAGAATTGCCCTAGTCACGTAGCCCTGTTGAACATCTTATCATATGTAGTTAAAATTTTGAGATAAAATTTTGTCGTCTGAAGAGATGGAGCATAGACAAGAGGGTTTACGACGTGAAAACAATTTAAAACCTCAAGAATTGAGTGTCAGTGTAACTAAAATCGATGAAAAATCATACTTACAGGGAAGAGCAATAAAATGATCCAAGTAGAAGAGTGGACCAATCATAGAGGGAATATCTAGCATCGACATCCTGGCAGATAAAGGCTTGGGAAATTCTTTGACAAACTCGAACAACATTTTGGTGCTTGATCCTTTTAAAAACTGAAGGTAGGCATTGGATGCCAGATTCAGGGAGCGCCCAACCCGCAGCGTGCTGCTCTGGTCGTCATCCAGGTAGCCATCGTTTAAGCTTGAATTGTACCATACGGTTACGTCAAATTTGTTGTCATCGGAGTTGGAGAAATCGTAGGCCGCAAGTATTTCGTTAACCTTCCTCTCTGGATTGCCCTTTGGGTAGCCTTCGTATAGCTCATTGTTTATCTCAGATGAAGATTTACGCCATAATTGCAAAGCTTCAACGCATCTAACCTCTGCATATTAATTCAAGAGAAATTAAGTTAGACAATTGCATGCATGAAAACAACAAAAGTTGAAGTGCATTTGCACAAGTGATGAATATGCAAAATATTTTGTTTCTCGGATGATTCAATGCCGCTGATCGTGTTGACTTCGTCCAGTGGTCAATGCGATCCACGGAGAGATAGTAGCATTGGATGCATAGAGATAGAGATATTCACCTAGGTTAGACTCGGATGATGTCGATCCATATGGTGGAATATAGATTGTAGAGTTTGGGGAGCACTGCCGCTGCACTCTAAAAAGTGGATCATCGAATGCAGGATCATAAAAGTTGGGTGCGCTAGGGAGATCATACGTTCCCTGCACATTTAGAATACACATAAGTTCATAGAACAAATTAATTGATAACATGAAATTAATTAACAAGTAGATGGAAATAAAAAATAAAAAAAACATACCATGACATTATTGACTAGATAATCCATAACATCAGAGGAATTCAGAGGGAAAGGATCATTTGGAAACATATTTCCAGCCAAAACTATCCAAATTCAGCAGAGATTAAGGTTAGTATTTGATCGATTAGATGAGGAAAAAAATGAGAGAAACTTGCGACGAGGATGACACAGTAGCGGAATTCCAAACTAATATTGCAGTACTGTGTTTTATTTTCTAATGTAAATGTGAACCATCGATTTGAAATACCGTCGCATTGACATCATGTTGCAAAGAAGTTCTTCCCCGAAAAGTTAAATAAAAAGCACATACTTTGTCCGACAGACTGGTTGTCGCCGGTGACAAGCACAGTGAGAGGGCAGGTGACGTTGTTCTTGCTGTTCCGGCATGACGCGTCAGGCAAGTCTGTGAAGGGAAGAATCGAGTCGCTTCTCTCTCACGGCACGAAAAGCGGCATTGGAGATGTATAACAGCGGAGCCCATTCTGGTGGGTTAGGAATTGGACAAGGGCCTAAACCACTCCAGTCTGTATCGGTATGACTGCCGTCACACTTGTCACCGCCACCGCTGGCTTTTGCTTTGTTCAACGCAATTTGGATGCCAAGCAAAATCAAGCAGAGCAATCCAGGTATCAACACCAACGATATATTCGAGCACATATTTCGTTTCTGCAAAATAATCCATGTATAAAAATATAAAATTTAGAGTAGAATATCGCTCGTGTAAAATATGAAAAACGATAAAAAAATGAAACTAGGGCAAAAACTGAGAGATGTGTAGACCTGAAAAGTTAAGTTCTTTCGGAGCAAAGCGTTGGACTGAGCCCAGAAGCTCGCACGGCTGCGGCCGCTGCCGCGTGAATGATCGGCCATTGATGGCGGAAACCCGGGGAATTCCTCTAACTTGGCACTCAAGGAGCCGAATTCGATATGTCTCTGGCCACCATAGACTAAAAGCTCAGTTCAAAACCTGTCAAAGTTCCAAATTATTTTCGAATAACCACTGCATAATCCAAATTAATTAGCACTAATATAAATGAATATTGGAGAACTAGAAACTAGCAAGTTTACCAACCAGCACTAGGTGATCAAGTGACTGAGGACGAATTTCATACTCGTATTACAGACGTCACATTTTGGGTTAGATTCCTAGCGCTCGTGAATCACACAATAGGTGGATTGCCATAACCAAGTCACCCACTGGTCCTTCTTAAAAGAAGAAAAAGAAGGGAAGTAACAAGTTTACCCTTGACGCGGCTTATAAATTGTTGCCAGTTGCCGCCCTTCCCTATTTGTTATGTTTTTTAATTATTGAATTTTGGGAGTTACATAAATATGGAAATAATAATCTTGAAAATATTAATGAAGGGAATCAAAATAAATGGAACACGTCATATGGACTTAGGAAAAATTAAGATTAAGATTAATTAGAGTAGGATTATCCTAATCAAGGGTTAATGATGTATTTGTGTAGAAAATAGATTAGCTAGAGAATTAGAGTGGCACAAATGGAAATTAACCAATTAATTAAGAGGTCGTGTAGTTAAATATAGATGGCAATTAATTTTGGGATTTTTCCTGGAAATTACATAGGACGAAACAAATCCTAAATTTGTGATACTCCGTCATTCTTGATTAAGACACATATGATTTTCCACCATTTTATTATTGCATCCAGCTCAGCCTCTCTATTTCTCCACCATGTTACTCTTGTGTGGTTGGAAGAGCCTTCGGATTTTCTTAGGGATATTTTGTTCTTTACGCTTTGTAATTTTCACTTAAATTGTTCATTTGAGGGTATGTCCTTTTGTTGTGCATGACATTCTTTTTCTTAGGGATATTTTGTTCGATGACACTTTGTAATTTTCACTTATATTGTTCATTTGAGGATATGTCCTTTTGTTGTGCAGGATACTCTTTTTCCATTCGACCAATTTGAAATTTCGGCAAGGTTTTTATCGAGACCTATTAGCACACTATTCTTATTTTGTACATATTCTGATTTGCTTAATTAATATCGTACATTTTCTTTAGATGGAAGTTTTTTCTCCAACAAACAATAATAGCCGTTATTCATTACGTATAAATGAAAAAAATTACATTTTTCGTAAGAAGTGATTTGTTGTTGTTGTGTGAAAAATAAAGAGACCATATATCACTTTTAGTGAAATTAAAAAAAAAAAAACTACACCTACATAAACAGTTGTTAGAGCAGTGTGTTGGATTTAAACTTAAATTTGAATTTTTCTTAATTCAGATGAATCCAAAAAATTTTAAAGCACTATGAATTAGATGAGATTATTTTATATGACAAAATAATAATACCGGTTATTCATTGAACTTAAATATGAATTTTTCTCACAGATGAATACAAAAAATATAAAAGCTCTCAAAACGAAAGTATTTTATTTGACAAACAATAATAGCAGTTATTCATTGAATACGAAAGAGAAAAAAATTGCGTTACTTTTTTTTTTTTTTGTCGAAATACGTTACTAATTAGAAGTGATTCATTTTGTTGTAAAAAAATAGAAATCATTGATCACTTTCAGTGAAATTCTGTAAAATACCAACTTTGGTAAACGAGTAAAAGCACTCGTACACAAAAACTCGGCGAAAATCCCGTTGCCGCCCGAACGCGGCAGTGGCAAACCCGTAAAACCAAGCCGAATCCAGCACTAATCTGGTAATTTCACCCCACTTCGCCTTCCCAAACGGGCAAAACCGCGCCTTTCCAAAAACAGAAGATAAAAACCGTCACTCTTGAGCGGAAAGCAATGAAACTCCGCCTCTCTCACTTCCATCACTAAACCCGAGAACTCACGTTCGGGTCCGGAAAACCCGAACCGATGGCTTTGCGGAGCGGCTTTCCGCTGCTGTTCCAGCAGTACAAGGCGCTGCTGAGGAAGAACCTCCTGATCTCGTGGCGGAGCAAAAGAGCCTCCTTTATCCAGCTCTTCGCCTCCTTCTTCTTCATCGTCCTCATCTTCTTCATCCAGGAGGGCCTCGAGGCTCGCAACAAGAAATCCGCCGACTTCCGGAGCGTCAGGGACCCCAAGCCTCTGGTTTCGCCGCCGATTCCGCCGTGCGAGCGCAAGTACTCTGTTGAAAAGCCGTGTTTCGATTTCGTGTGGAGCGGAAATGGGAGCGCGAGGATTAGTAGTATTGTCAGTGGGATTATGGCGAATAATCCGGGCCGGCCGATTAGGCCGTCGAAGGTATGCATGAGTTCGGATTGTTGCGTTGTGTTTGGTTACCAAGAAAGTTGAGGAAAATGCGGTTTGCTTTCTTTCTTTTCTTAGTAAACGTTTCTGCTCATAAGTGAATTTGTTAGATTTTTTTTAATTGGAAATTCATTGAAATTTTGATTGTAAAACCAAGTACTTGTTGAGAGTTGTCCCACATCGGTGAGGGACAAGGTTTGCTATGTGCTTATATGGTCTTGAGCTGCTCGCCTGCTCTTCATATTCCCAATTGGTTTTATGGTGGAACCCAATTTCATCAGTACTTTCTTAAGAAAGCGCTTCTACGACGAAAGACATATAATTTGTTTTCAGAATCACATTTGGTTCGTCATAAAGTGATTGTAGCCCTTCCAGAAGCCGTCTTAAGCCACACCGGCAATGTGATGGCATTTAGTTTACCTTTTGTTGCATAAATTTTGTTCAATTTATTCCGAAAACAGGAGGAATGCGTGGAACTTTTGTTCCACAAACTAAAGATGTGAGATTTCGAACTGTTCAGATTTGGTTGTTGACAAGTTCGACTAGTTAGATTTCATCGTTTTAGGCACCTCATAGTGAGGCAGTTTGATTTATGTTGTGGTCTGCGGGCTAAATTGATAGTGTTAGATTGTTCGTAATGAGGTGGTTTTACTTGTACAGGTCAAATCGTTTGGAACGAAAGAGGATGTAAATACATGGCTATTTAATAATCCTCTGCATTGCTCAGGAGCCTTGCATTTTGTGGAGAGAAACGCCACTGTGATCAGCTATGGCATACAGACCAATTCTACTCCTGTTAAAGCCCGGGGGCGATATGAAGATTCGACATTCAAGTTTCAAATACCGCTTCAGATTGCTGCTGAGCGTGAAATCGCTAGGTCTCTGATTGGAGGTACTATGTCTTGTTTCTCATATTCCTTTTCTGTTCGTTGAAAAAAGCTTCGCCTGCATTGTTACCATCATGACCTTAACATGCGTATAATGATATGTTCAGTTCCAAATTTTAGCTGGGATGTTTCACTCAAGGAATTCGCACACCCTAACCGGGAGGTTTCCATTGATTTGGCTCAACTATTACCACCCTTCTTTTTTGCTGCTGCCATGTTCAGTTTTGTGTTTCAAATGTCCTCTTTGATCACAGAGAAAGAACTAAAGCTTCGGCAGGTAATTTGGGTTTCTTCTTTTCCCTGCCGCGGAGTTCATTGTGTTTGTGTATGGCTAGTTTTGATTTCGTATATGCAAAATCAGGTTGTTATTCGTGTTTTTGTTCTTTTACTTTGCAGGTGATGACAATGATGGGCCTTTATGATACTGCATATTGGTTCTCATGGTTCACATGGGACGGAATTATGGTACTATTGTCATCACTTTTCACAGTTCTCTTCGGAATGCTGTTTCGATTTGATTTTTTCCTAAAGAACAGTTTTGCAGTCGTATTCCTTGTCTTCTTCCTTTTCCAACTCAATATGGTAAGAATGTTTCAAGCAATTACTTCTTTTACTTTATTTCTACTATTTCCAATCTAGTAATCTCTGATCCACTTACTGCAATTTGTTGCCAGATTGGTTTTTCCTTTCTGCTGTCAACCTTCCTAAGGAACTCATCTTCATCCACAACTGTCGGTTTTGCGGTGTTTATTGTCGGCTCTATAACCCAGGCAAGACTTCCCTGATTCAAGATTTATAGATTGGGGTTTTTCTCGTAATACTAATAACATATTCCATTTTGTCTTGCAGATTGTTACAGCGTTTGGTTTTCCCTATGATTCAACAGACTTCAAGATGAAATATCGAATACTCTGGTCATTTTTCCCACCTAATCTTCTTGCCAGAGCTATAGTATTACTTGCTCAAGTAACAGCCAATCCACAAGATATTGGGATTAGCTGGAGTAGAAGGGCCAAATGCCCGGCAAATGACTATAGTGATTGTCTTATGACAATTGTAAGTAAACTCATTGATCCTAAAATTGAAAAAATTACCAAATATTTTATAAGTTCTTCGAATGTTTCATCCACCTTCCTGTTATTTCTAAAATTTTCATTTGAACTTTGACAGAATGGCATTTATAAATGGCTGGTGTCGACATTCTTCCTCTGGTTTATATTGGCTATCTACTTCGATAATATCATTCCGAATGTATCTGGTGTGAGAAAATCAGTGTTCTACTTTCTAAATCCCGGATACTGGACAGGGAAAGGTGGAAACAAATTGAAAGGTAAATACGACTGAAAGTTTGTGGTTGAGTTCTCTTGTTGCATGGTAACTTAGCGGTGTTTCCTTTCTATTCATAGAGGGTGGCATATGTAGTTGCATCGGTTCAGCTCCACCAAAGGAGCATCTTACTCCAGACGATGAAGATGTCCTTGAAGAGGAGAACCTTGTCAAACAACAAACTAAGGAAGGCACAGTTGATCCGAACATTGCAGTTCAGATACGAGGTCTTGTAAAGACATATCCCGGTACCTTCAGTATTGGCTGTTGCAAGTACAGGAGAACTAAGCCTCACCATGCTGTCAAGGTAATCGTATCTGCCCCTTGGTTATCCTCCCTTGTTTTTTACCAAGTTATGTCTTATGAATTCTGTTGATGCACAAAATCCGGAGGATCTTGGACCAACGTAAATCCGGCCGTGAATCACACAAACGCACAAGAGCACAAATATGTATCGTGGTTCACCCCAATGTTTGGGCTACGTCCACACTGATGTTGATTCCATTTCACTGTATGAATGTATGGATTACAATAGATCGGCAAGGGAGCTCTCTGTGGATGCAGCCCTTGCCATTTTGCTCTCTGTTTGGATGAGAGGGTATTGCCCTCTATTGTTGTGAGGGTTCTGAGATG